TTGTCCGTTTATTTGGCAATCGCTAATGGCAGTCAACAGGGTTTAAGAAGATTTTCGACCTGTTAGTCAAATGCGTTTTGTTGAAATATACTTTTTTACTTTTTTTGTCTTTTGCAAAATGTTGTTTGTGCTGTATTTAGACCCCTCTATCAAGAAATTTGTTTTGCATGACACGTCTAAAAATTGCGGTTTTTATCCAACGCAATCATAGGTTTGAACGTTGTTTATATATACAAAAAAAAAGGTTTCTTTTCAAGCGGTGTACAGAATTATATATTAAAAATTAAATACACAAAAAGAGTTTTAAAAGCAGCATTGTCTAGCGCTTTCCTCCATCTTGGGACTTTTCAAGACTATGAACGTCGTTATGAACGTCGTTATGGGGAACATAGTTGGTGGATCACACTTTAGAACCTGATGGTCTTAACGAAAAAGATGAGAAAAGATACAGGAAAGACAAAGAATAATTTAGTACACAGCATCGTCCTTTTTATCCTGTAATATTGGCCAATGGACGTTGCTAACTTCAACTACCAATTTTGTAAAAATCTTGAACTTCATTCAAATTATGTATTATTTTCAAGGCAGCTAAATTCAAATGCAACATATACATTGAGCTGCAAACGTTTCTTATCATCTACATCCGATTTCACCTGGATAGATGCACGCTTGATAAAGCTAGTTAGTCTAGCGAAATATTGCGTTTTTTTTCATCATTTTGTAAATATTTTAAACATTCTTATATTTACATACTAAATAGTGTGTCAAAATTACATTGTTAGGCAATCTATAATTTTATTTGTGTAATTGAATTAATCTCTGTACTGATTAATCCACACTCCTATAGATTTGTATGTCATGTGCTGCTATTTATAGGCACTTATATATATATATTTTATAAAGAAAAGTTAAGTAGAATCCGTATGCTGGTAACATATACGAAAATAAATGAAAGATAATAACGGTTTCAATTCATCACTTTTACTAGCGCTTTCACCGCTTGCAGTGAAAGCGCTAGTAAAAGTGATGAATTGAAACCGTTATTATCTTTTATTAATTAATATATATATAGATATAAGAAGATGTGGTATGAGTGCCAATGTGACAACTCTCCATCCAAGTCAAAATTTATGAAAGTAAACAATTATAGGTCACAGTACGGTCTTTAACACGAAGCTTTGGCTCACACCGAACAGTAAGCTATAAAGGGCCCCAAAAAATTACTAGTGTAAAACCATTCAAACGGGAAAACCAACGGTCTAATCTATATAAAAAACGAGAAACGAGAAACACTTATGAACCACATCAACAAACGACAACTACTGAACATCAGATTTCTGACTTAGGACAGGTGCAAACAAATGCAGCGGGTTTAAACGTTTTAATGGTACCAAACCTTCACCCTTTTTCTGAAACATTAGTGTAACATAACAACATAGAAAGACACGGTATAAAATATCAACTGAAATAGCTTAACTCAATCAAAGGACATATTAACACCATTGAACATACACTGAACAAAGAAATTTGACCTATGACAAAATGTAAATACAAAATAAATAAACTAAGGGAAGAATAATAAAAGTAAAATGTTATATCGGTAAGAAATGTTAAACAATAAAAGAAAAACAATAAGCTCGAACAAAAATATCAGCCATTTGCAAAAACTTTAAACACAGGTAAATGAAAATAATTTTGTTGTTAAGTATACGTGTACAGTACCAATAGAGAAAGGAAATATTTTTACGAAATAAATAATTTTGATGTTCATACTACGAAGTGAAAATTTATAGTAATACCAAACACTTATCAAAGCTGGTATATAGACCAGATATAACCCTGAATAACATTAAATAACAAAAAAGCAATACAATTAGTATCAACAGGTCAAATAAACAAGAAAGTACGATTTGAGAGTACTCGCAGTTACTGACAGCTAGTTAAAAGCCAAAACAATTAATAATAAAAAATCATGCATCAGAGACTAAAATCAACTAATATATATATATATATATATATATATATAGCTGGGGCAGCTCAAAGGACATTTGAAAAGAAGGGGATATAAACACAAAAACATCAAAAATAGTTTTCGAAAAGCGGAATCCATCCCCAGAAGCAGTCTGCTAACTTACAAAGAAAAACAGAAAAGTAAAAGAATCCCATGTGTGCTCACCTACCATCCATGCCTGAGAAATAGTTTCAAGACCATTTGTGATCATTGGACAGCAATCGAGAAACATTCTAAGTTATCCAAAATCTTTCCTGAGCCTCCCATGATTGCCTTCAAACAACCTAACAGCCTGAGAAATATACTTGTCCGTGCTGACCTTTCCAAACCTAACCAAACTGTAGGTAATTGCCAGCCTTGTGGGGATAAGCGCTGCAAATGTTGCAACCAATTGCAGCATTCAACAACATTTCACAGTAAGACCACAGAAAAGACATACAAGAACTTCTGCAATGTCAACTGCAAAAGCTCAAACGTGATTTACGTTCTTGAGTGTCCTATATGTGGTCTCCAATATGTTGGTGAATCTATGCAGCCATTTCACAAACACCTTAATGGCCACCGGAGTGACCTCACAAAAAAACCGTATATTCCTGTCAGCCAACACTTCAGGTTACCAGATCACAATCTGAAAGATTTTGATCACATGAAGATCCTTGTGATCGAACAGGATTGCACATGGCAAAATAGGCAAAGAGAGAATCGGGAGAAGTTTTGGGTGTCCTCCATCCAGATGGAATCAATAGAAAGAAATAATTAAATTTACAGTCTAATGTTTATATTATGATATTCAGGATTTTGGATTAAAATCAATCGACCAAAACTTACCTGTATTATTACTGATCTATGTTTACACCTTATACATTATATATCAGTATTGTTAAAACTTTTAACACTGAGGAAGGCCATTTGTTGAGCCGAAATATTTGCAATTATTGTATAATTTATATCATCTGTTCAGTTTTTCCATCTTTGTGCGATGATATGCAACACTTTTTGGTGTTTTGTTTTCCATCTATTTATCGGTATTGTTACACAATCTTTTAGACTCATATATATATATATATATATATATATATATATATATATACAACTCGTCTAAACATCAGACCAACAATGTTAGATCTGTAAATTTGCTCTTGCTAATTTTTTGTTCTTCCCTCACCGGGATTTGAACTCATGCTACTGAGATATCGTGACAACAAATTGCCTGCACTGTAACCGACGCGCTAGACCACACGACCACCTAGTCGTCAATAATAAAGCTTTCGCTGGTAGGATGTTACCTTTCTTCGTCAGTTTTGATCTAGCGTCGCCATACAGTATATAAGGCATGAAAATGGAAATGTTACATATCAGCTGAAATATCTATTGTAAAGGATCCTACAAATTAATGCAAGATACAGTCACAGAAATAATTATATTTATAAGTAAGTCCGAACCAGTGACAACTGTACAACAGATTTATCCATTGGATTACCAGCAGTGATGATGATACATGGCTGTGAACATTCTGTATATACAACTCGTCTAAACATCAGCCCAACAATGTTAGATCTGTAAATTTGCTTTCCCAAATTGTTTTGTTCTTCCCTCGCTGGGATTCGAACTCATGCTACTGAGATATCGTGACACCAAATCGCCTTGCACTATCCCCGACGCGCTAGACCACTCAACCACCTAGGCTCTATACTTACTTCTATCAGAAAAATGTCGATGACTGAATAAAAACAGTAAATTGGCAAGCAGCATTTGACATCTTTTCCATTATTCATTATGCAACCACACATTCGATTGATGTGTTTGAGCTTTTGATTTTGCCATTTGATTAGAGACTTTCCTTTTTGAATTTTCCTCGGAGTTCAGTATTTATATGATTTTACTTCCTACTGCACTGGTTAGACATGTTTCCTTAAGGTTTTTATAACTCAAACGACATACATATAAGGACTTTAATAGACACCTCAGGGATTGCCGAGAATAATTTGAAATGTATACACTTAAACAAATTCTTCAATCAAAGTCAACTATAAACAAATATTTAGCTAACTTGTCAATGATAAAAAAACCAGAAACGCTTATATATACATATGTTTATATATTATATATACATGCCTACACTCATTTTTGTTTTTTGATTGGCATCAGGGTAACACCAATATTTTAGAAGTCTCTATTTATCAATGATAGTAAACAATATCTTTAGTGTAAAATAGATTTAACATAACTATTATTTTGTTTCAGGCATTTGCACATAAATCAAATAACTACAATACAGCAAGGAGTATTTCAAGACCTTCCAGCTCTAAACGAACTGTATGTGTACATTGTTACAATAGTTTTTCAAGAAGCAAATGATAACAAAATTTATGGTTAATCTGTGGCAGAGTATTTTTTACTATTATCAATGATTACGATATTTTAAAGTTCTGCCGTTGACCATTGGTGACAAAGATTGATTTATTTACACTTGTCAATTCCAGCCGTAGAATTGTCTGTTAACTATGTTAGTTCTTGGTATTTTTTATCATATTTAATGCTGATATGTACATATGTTGGAAACATTATAATGATTAAGTAAATTTTTAGAAAACAATCTGTCAATGCCACTTGGTTGAAAATTTGTAAACTACTGTTGCCTATACGGAAAGATGTTAATCGACCTGCGTCTAAATCCCTATATGATATTTATCAAAATTTTATGAATCGACATCTATCTATGGTGATAAAAAAAATTGTTCAATGTAAAAGAGAGGCAAAGGATCCCAACGGGACATTCAAACTCCTAAGTCGAAAATAAATTGACAACGCCATGGTTAATAAAGAAAAAGACAAATAGACAAATACAGTACACAAAACATAACATAAAAAACCAAAGACTTAGCAACATGAACCCCATCAAAACTGGGGGTAGTATCAGGTGCTTCGGAAGGTTAAACATATCCTGTTAATTATCATAAAAATTATCATTGTTTTGTTTCAGGTATTTATACAGGAATCAAATAACTACAATACAGCAAGGATCATTTCAAGACCTACCAGCACTAGGCCGCCTGTATGTATACATAGTTACAATATTTTCTCTAATTCTTTGACAATTTATACCTTTCAGCACTCATTGTTTAAACAAAAATTAATCAACGTGTGGTTGCCGATGATCTCAGAAGATGATAAGATGAGTTTAAGGTTCATAACCTTAATCAGCTAACTGAATGAATCAAAATATGCTAACAGGTGTTAATGAAATTGAAAACTTTGTGAAATGTGGAAGGCACTTGAAGGGGATTTTCGTTTAACAAAAAATAAAAATTTTATTTTTTAATCATTAGAGAAACAGATTCTTACATAGTTACTCGTGGATTATCGGATTTATCCAATCTCGATAGTTAAATTATCAATTTTAAGGTCCTCGCCGAGGCTCGGACTTTAAAATTGATAATTTAACTATCTCGATTAGATAAATCCGATAATCAACTGGTATCAATGTAAGAATCTATATTTATCAAAAAGCAATTGAGGAAAAAATGTAAATTAATTTTCTGTCGTCGAATAGTGTGACCATTTGTGAACCTGTTCGGTTTGAATTGACTGGATTTACTAATAATCTTTTTTTTAAATGATAACTCTACGAAACGATTTGATAGTTGCAAATTTTTAAGTAATCGCATTTCAAATGATTTATGAGTTCTGCAAATTTACATCGATTAACCAAATGGTTACACTGCAGATTTCATAATGGTAACAGACATATATTAACAGTACGTATAAACTTTAGATATATTTCTATAAAAAAAGTGCGATAGAGATAACATGTTCTTTTTGTTTTCTAAAAATAAGAGATATGTTTTTTTTTTCAAATGTTTTTCAAAAAGGGAATTATTTACTGAAATGGATTAGCCAACATGAACATTGGAACAGAACACTAATTATTGAGACAAATATAGTTCCTTGGTGTTTTTGTTTAGATAATATCAGCAATTAACTAAACTCATATAAGAAAGAAGACTTCCATTCTACACCTTTAAATAAAAACTATTAACCGCAGTTTTTAACTACCAGTATGTAATAAATAACAATTGCCACTATATATAATGTTGCAATCATAATGTAGCATTGTCCGATAAAAAATCGTTGGCAAGATTTTCTATTTTGTAAAAGATTAACATAATTTTGTAAATAAATGTCATTACAACACTGAAATGTTTAATGACAACATTTCGTTTACTTTGAAAATATTTATTAAATGGTCCATGACGTCTTTAACTGATAAATTTGCAAACATAAATGTGTGCATGTAGGAGAAATATTTTAGTATGTCATCTCTTGGTTGATGTACATATTCGTTTTCTGAGCAATAAAAGTTCGAAACTTGGTAGAGAACTGTTTAAACCTCAGTTAGTATGTTGTGTTTGAATACTTATCACGGCACATAAATGTATCTTTAACAAGATGACTTGGTCATTTTCAAGATAAAACACAAATGTGTCTTCTTAACTCAAGAATGAAAGAGTACATGTATATCGTCTTAGGTTGTATTAGATTTCGGAAATTAAGTAGCGTTGTGCATATACATAGTTCTTGTTCGTTTGAACATGACCAAAAATTACGTATATGAAGTAGTGATATTCTTATTTCTGTAATTGCGTTCCAATGTGTCTGAATCAAAGTAAACTCCCTTTATCTCATTTCATTGTGTTTTTTAGAATTAAAAACAATATCCTAATGACATATACGATTTAAAGCGTTAGGCATTTAGTTTATTGTGAAATATCAAAATATTCTATTAACATAGAGTGTAATTATTAGCTGGTTTTTATTGTGGAAAATATAGAAAGAAAATTTGTATACATGGTACGTTGTAAGAATTTATAATAACTAAATTATTGTGACAAGATAAGTATGATGACCTGTTTACAGATACTAATAATTAATGCACATGTATTGACCATTAATGAACTGCTTATGTTGTTTGTGTTGCTCATACTTTAGTTTTCTGTATGATATTTTTTTTCAGAGCATTGCACCAAAATCAATTAACAACAATACAGCAAGGAACATTTCAAGACCTACCATCGCTTAACCTTCTGTATGTATATATTGTTATAGCTTTTAACCAGACGCAAATGAAAACAAGATTTAAATGTTAATCAGAATATGTTTACTGTAATCAATAATTACGACTATCTGGAGTTAAGTCGTCAAATAGTTTAACCAATGGTGACCCTGTTCGTTTGACAGAGTTTAATAATACTTTTATTGAAAACAATTATTATAAGAAAAGACTAGATAGTCCCATAATCGCGAACGTAATCATCATCGCCCTTTGCACAATCAAAGCTTTCGGCAAATTGACGACCCATGTGTATACACTGCAGATTGTATTATGAAAACAAACATGTGTTAAAAATATAAAAACATTTTAAGGATGTTTCTAGAATATATTGTGAAAAATATAAGTGTGTTTGGCAACAGGTAAAATCAATCCAGTAAAATACGATACATTTGACTTATTTCAATATCTACTAAAAAAGGCGGTAGATACAAATCCATTTGCACTCCACTATGTTTTAATAAGTAAAGGAGTGGTTTTTGTTTACATTTAAATCGAATTTTTAAAAAAATCTGCTGTACAGTCAAAATCTGTTTTCAGATGATAACAAAATTAACAGATCAACATTAAACAAGTTGCAAGCGTTTATTTAATTGCATTAGAAAGATAATAAGTTATATAATTATATATAAATAATAATAATTTTATTGAAAACAATTATTATAAGAAAAGACTAGATAGGCCCATAATCGCGAACGTAATCAAAGCGTTCGGCAAATTGACGACCAAGTTGTGTACAAGTTATCATGTTGTACAAATTATAATTTGTATTTTGACTTTGTACAAATTATAATTTGTGTATTTTGACTTTGTACAAATTATAATTTGTACATAATAAGGCCTAATTTCACTTATAACTTGTACAATATTTTACATAGAATAAGTTTCAGATCAAATGATAAAAATAATTTCAATTTTAAATATGAATCAATATGAAACACACGGATAACTCTATTTTCAATACTATACAATAATATACAATGCTCTTCACTTCAAGAATTGTACTAGTTGATCCAGTTTCACTATCAGTCACAGAATCGTTAGGTTCTCTTTCTGATTGTACCGATTCAGCATCTGTGATTTCATCCGTACCATCAATCTCAATTTCACTGTTCTACTCTGAAACTCTTTGAACACTTTTTCCAAATTTTCCTCGGATTTAAGATTTGGCAAAAGTTCCTTGGGCAAAGAAGATGAATATAAACCTATCTTTGGTGAAACCAAACAGAGCATGATAAGGCGATTGATCAATTACTCAGTGATGTGATCTTTTTTTCTGAAATTGCACGAAGCGCAAACGTTCAGACCACTGTTGTGTGTCATTTTCATTCATCCATGCTATGAAAGACGCCTCCGGGTGCGGGAGTTTCTCGCTGCATTGAAGACCCATTGGTGGCCTTCGGCTGTTGTCTGCTCTTTGGTCGGGTTGTTGCCTCTTTGACACATTTCCCATTTCCATTCTCAATTTTTTATGAGCATTTCTTTAATGTCTGCATTTGCTCTTTTTACAGACCCCTGACGTTGGGGATGTCTTGGTCGCCCATGAACTATTACTAATTCTGACCATAACGATTTCAGTTCAGTGATTATATGTGCAGTGAACTCCGTCCCATTATCGCTTTTGAGGATATGGGGTGCACCAAAGAGAAAAAAAATGTCAAGTAATTCATAAGCAACTTCAGCAGCTCTCTTAGATTTCAGATCTCTAAGCACGCTAAATTTGGTAAGATGATCTTGATAGTGCATTATGCATTTAAAATGGGACAGATTAATGATCTACAAGGTCAACCTGCCCTCTACATTTGAAGTCAGCAGAAATTATAGGTTTAATAACAAGTTTTGATATGTCAGTACGTTTTCGTTTCAAGATACATTGTTCACAGTTGGTTGTAAATACATGAAATATGCGTATTGCTTCCCGGCTAATGTTAGCAAAATGTTTTTTTGATTCTTTGTTAGTTTTATGGAGACATCCATGACCGACCCCAACGTGTGCTGTTTATAAAATATCATACATATCCTCAATGGATAAGTAGTAAAGTATGGTGTCATCTGAAAGTAAGAATTAAACCATTTTGAGTATGGCACAAAACTGGTATTTTGTTATAAAAATAATTATGTTAAGAGCCCTAACAGCGATATGCTTGTTCAAATAATATAAATATAAGAAAATCTGTGAAATAGTTAAGCTCATATGGTCGTCTGTTTTGTGACCTAAAGTTCTTTAAATAATACTTGTACACCCTTATTTACTGTGATCATATAGAGTTACGATTTTAGATTGATGTGCCATAGTGACTGCAATCATCTGTATGCAATTATGCATAGTATGATCAATTTGATACATCGTCATGAACATGCACGAAATATTTGCCACTGGACGTTAAGCAACCAACAATCAATCAATCAATCAAAATTCCAGGATTTGGGATAGATTTATGTTTACATTCGATTTCAGACTCTCTTCTATATTTGTCATATAAAACAATACAATGATGAGCTTTTCAACATCATATTTCTCTAGCAAATGTCTGTCTTGGTCACTTTTCTTCAATGCCTCTCTTGCATTTTTAACTTTTGAAATTAACTCATTCAATTTGTCCCTAGTATAAAGATGGCTGTGCTTACATGTGTTATTCTCAGCAAATTGCTGAACTTCTTGATAAAATTTATCCTGTTGATCAACAATACTAGGCATTTTTGTTAACACCTTAACTTTTACTTTTGTTAATGACCATGTGAAAGACCAGTGAACAGGAGTTCAATTTATAACCTCAAGGCAATATAAATGAATCAGTATGACTTTAAAAATAGAATTGAAAATGTTTTATAGTGGGTAGCAACACTTTTTTATCACAATATCCATATAATAAATTATTCTACGAGTTATAACTGAAATTAAGCCTCATTATGTACAAATTGTAATTTACAGGCACTTTTTGTACAAATTATAATTTGTACAAAATGATAACTTGTATACAACATATATATATAGATCCATTTTGTTACATCAGGTGATCCGTTTATTTGGAAATCGTCAATGGCAGTCAGCAGTGTTTAAGAACATCCGTTGTCCGACCTGCTAGTCAAATGCGTTTTGTTAAAATATACTTTTACACGTTTTTGGTCTTTTGGAAAATGTTGTGTGTGTTGTATTTAGACCCCTCTACCAAGAAATTGGTTTGGCATGCACACGTATAAAAATTGCAGGTTTGAACGTTGTTTTCAATTTAGACTTGTGTATAAATACATGTATATAATAAGTACGTCTGAACCAGTGCCAACTCTACGACAGATTTTATCCATCGGATAACCAGTGATGGTGATACAAGGCTGAAAACACATTCTGTATATATAATTCGTCTAAATAACAGCACAACAATGCTAGATTTGTATTCCGCAAATTTTGTTCTTCCCTGGCCGGGATTCGAACTCATGCTACTGAGATATCGTGGCCCCAAATCGCCTAGCACTATGCCCGGTGCGCTAAACCACTCGCCCACCTAGGCTCGTCAAAAATCAAGCTTTCGGTGGCCGGGTGTTACCTTTCCTCGTCAGTTTTTATCTAGCATCGTAACACAGTACATGATATAAAAGGCATAGTGCAAGGCGATTTGGTGCCACGATATCTCAGTAGCTAGAGTTTGAATCTTAGCCAGGGAAGAACAAAAAATTTGCTTCCGCAAATTTACAGATCAAACATTGTTGAGCTGTTGTTTAGACGAATTATATATATATATATATATATATATATGTATATAGTGTCTAAAAATAGCAACAATCAACATTCAATCTATCTAGGCGTGGATCAGTTTGTAAATAAACTGATGCAGTTACTAAATTAAATTATATAAATGCCTAAGAATGAAAATTTAACACACTACTGAGTGTTATAAAAATAGTTGTTATATTTTATATATTCACGAAATATTTCGGTAAACAAATTAGCTTCATCAGGCGCGTGCAGCCATCCAGGTAAAAAATCGGAGGTTGTAAAGAAATTTTATGTACATAAAGCTGCAAAAATTTCTTTACAGCCTCCGATTTTTTACCTGGATGGCTGCACGCGCCTGATGAACTTATTTGTTTAGCGAAATATAAACAATGTTTTTTACAGTGAACTTTCCTTTTTGCCCATTATACTTAGCATCTGATATTTATTTTGTTAATTGTTATTGTGTATATGTAGTATACTTTCATGTATAAAGATAAGCGTATATAAATACTTCGGTTATGATAACTTAATGTTGTACACATTTTTCAGAAGTTTGAGATCAAACAATCTGACATTTATCAGGAAAGACACTTTCGAAAATCTTACCAACTTAAAATCTCTGTAAGTACAAATATTCGCATTTATTTCATTATTTAGAGAATTCCTTATACATGTTATATTTGAAAAGTCTTATTTCAGACTGCATGACCCCAATTTTCATCCGCAGAGGGACACCTTGTATCCCCTTACATGTAATGAATATTCTTAATCCCCCTGATGTATAATGTGTGTTTCTCTTTAAAATGAACAATTGCCATCCTTTCTACAAATCACTTTCTGGCGAGATAAAATTTTATGGAATACCACATCTTAACATGTTGTACTCACATAATTCTACTTCAATGAAATTCTAATAATCACATAAAGTTTATTTTATGGTTTACATTAATATTGGCTACGATAGTTCTATAAAAAGTTTTATATCAAATTAAAAATATCCTATCTATATCATCACTATTTCTATAAAAAAAATATTTACAACCGGAATATAGATATCCTTAGTCGGTATAAGATTTGTAGAAGTATTTTACCAGAAATATATATAGGAGGGAATTATAATAACCCCGAATTTCAAATCGATCTTGTTATGTTATCCATAAGTTATGCAACATTGTAACGAAAACCGAGCGGTCGTGCCTTAGTGTAATGCTATAAGAATATGTTTTTGTAATATCAGTCATAAATAGGGAATAAAGTTTACATCCAGTCACTCTTTCCTTGGTGGCATGGTACTCTGGAATTCTGTATACACCCTTGTATGGTAGCTGTAACGAAAACCGAGCGGTCGAGCCTTCGTTTAATGCTATAAGAATATGTTTTTTTTTGTAATATCAGTCATAAATAGGGAATAAAGTTTACATCCAGTAACTCTTCCTTTGGTTGCGTAGTACTCTGGAATTCCGTATACACCCCGGTGCGGTTGGTTCTTCTGGTAAGGTAATAACCTTGGATATAAAGGGTAGATAAGGGCATAAGTTTTCGGTCCGTAAAAAAATATGGTTTTGTATGGTAACTCTCCGTATCGATGTTCGAATGAATAACAGACTCGTTAAATAAAATCAACTTATATAACTTTAATATGCATTAAATATCAACAACACATATATAATTCAAATAACTTAAAAGTGTTCAATTTAATGAATAAACATTTCATTAACCTTTTTGTTGCGAATTTAGGAAAATGGATAGCAGGAAAATATACTCAGAAAGTTTACTATTTATAGTACGAAATCGGCAAATGGTAAAACTCGATACCAAATGATTCGTTATAAAGTTTAACTTACGAAGTTATTTTCTAAGTGTAACCCGTAAAGAAATTAACATTTAACATACGGACCTAGTCTCCTCCTCGTCCCTTGTTACTACTTGGTCTGGTAACTGGTATCTATACTTCTATTACAATCGCTTGGAATTAGCGAGATTTACGTGCTGAAAACTTATTTGAATTATCGGCCGTATTTATACTTCAGTAAACCAATTTACTGATTTGGTTTACCATTTAGGAAATACCTAAATTACCGAAACCGGAACTGGTTATTACCAACATTGGTAAAACGTTAAACAGTTAAGATGTGCTCCAATGCATAAACAAAGGCAAGGATAATAAAAGTTTTAGAGTTAACAATGTTTAAACACACTTATACCAGAAATATATAATAACAAAGGTCATTTATCGGTACGATTAAAACGACGTCATCACACAATTTTAGGGGAAACAAGTTCCATTTCAGGGAACCGACATTTCGTCACAATATTAAAACTTGTCATTCAAAACATTTGTGTGGTTTGAAATGCACGTGATCAAGTAAAACATACATTACTTTTATTTATTGTTATCATTTACTGTTACATTTGGTTGATAAAAACCACTCAGATTCACAATAACAAATATGATATGAATGGTTTCTTTATACATTTGTGCATTCCAAGATTTATACCATTTTACTGTGTAATGCACTCTGCCATCACTGTTTTGACGTTGGTGTATACATTTCTCCCAAAAATATGACGGCAGATGCAAACGTAAAGGACGGCAAATGTTCTATATTAGTAAATTATTCAATTTAAGATTACTTCAAGTACTCTGGAGAATTCTTTGATTCGCTTTTATAGAGATTACTTCAAGCAAATAATGCAGACTTTTTATGAGTCTGTTTGACTGGTAGAAAACAACCGTATGTGATTATATTTTTTAATTGTTGTCCGTGTGTATTGTAAAGGGTTTGATTATCATAGTTGATGTGGTAAAAAGATTAGGTAATGGACAGGAGTATATAAAAAAAGCATCATTCAAAATCGAAAAAATACATAAACAGTTAAAAGTTAAATAACAAAAATACCGAACTCCAAGGGAAACTCAAAACGGAAAGTTCATAATCAAATGGGAAAATCAAAAGTTCAAACACAACGAAAGGAATACAACTGTAGTATTCTTGACTTCGCATAGGCATTTACTGTATGTAGAAAATGGTACATTAAACCTGGTTTTATAGCTAGCTAAACCTCTCACTTGTATGACAGTATAAAACTCCATTATATTGACAACAATTTGTGAACAAAACAAACAGACACATAGACACAATGTCAAAAATAGTACGGCAGTCAACACAGCGTAATAATCTTAATCCTTATAAACATAAATAAAAATATCCACAAAGAAAAACAAAATGGCATATAGACAAGTCACATAAAACAAAAATAAAAGACAAGAATACAAAATTAATCATTGTCCAATAACACAATGGCGGGATGTATAAGTACCGAGCCACGTCAAAAGAGTATTACCAAAAATGTACTAAATAGTAAAGGTTAATAATTTAGAAATACAAACAAAAGAACAATTAACGTTTTGATTATTTCGGTTTCAAATTATGTTTCTAATTGGTGTCGTAAAAGACAACAACATATAACTAAACTGGGACTTAAATATATGTCAAACCATTTCCTCTAATAACTTTAATGTATTCCAGAAAGAAAAAAATCTGCTCGTATATACAAATAAAATGTAAGTGCTAATGAGACAACTCTCCATCCAAGTCATTATGTGTAAACAGTAAACAATTGTAGGTCAAAGTACGGCCTTTAACACGGAACCTTGGCTCACACCGAACAGCAAGCTATAAAGGGCCCCTGATTATGAATGATCTGCTGACTCTTCCGGAACACCCGAGACCATTCTTAGTTTTTGGTGGGGTTCGTGTTGCCAAGTCTTTGATTTTCTATGTTGTTTAGTGTACTGTTGTTTGTCTGTTTCTATTTTTCTTTTTTTTTTTGACCATGTCACTTTGGGTTTATTTGCCTCTCTTTAAATAAAAAACATATATCTTTAGTGATCCTATGTGCTTATCATTAATCTTTTTTTCATATTTTGAATCTCAAATATCACTTTCATTATGATTTGATAACGGCCTTGTTACAGTTGCAACAACCAAAGATCTCTCTCTGAGTTGAGTATATATAGACTCCTAGGGCCTTAAAACATGTGTTTGGCAAAGGGTACAACTAAATCAAGTAAAAAACGATACATTTGACTTATTTCAATATCTACTAAAAAAAAAAGGCAGTAGATACAAATCCATGTGCATTCTACTATGTTTAAATAAGTAGACGGGTGTTACAATGCAAGATAGACAATGACTGATGAATTCGGACGTAATAATCATTCATTCGTAATGACAAAACAATCATTTGCGAAACATTTTGCTTTCATGAATACTATTAAGTTGTCCCATACATTACGATACGAGACAATTAGTCAATGTAGCTTGTTTGAACATCGGTAAACTGCTGTTGTTCATATTCAGCTAGATAATTATTCACATATCAATAATAATAAACAATTTACTTAATGTAAAATATATGTAACATCACCATTGTTTTGTTTCAGGTATTTGTACACCAATCAAATAACTACAATAGAGCTAGGATCATTTCAAGACCTTCCAGCGCTTAACTTTTTGTATGTATACATTTTGACAATATTTCATCAAGAGGTAAATGAAAACTGAATCTAAAAAAAGCAGTGTCAAACTTGGTTTACTATTATCAATGATAACGATACATGGAGTTCTGCCATCCTGAAACGTAACGAATATTTCCCCAGTTGGTTAGCCTAGCTATGTAACATGTATTAATAAGCGAGATGCCAAACCAAATTTCGAATCTCAAACCGTAGGAACAAAAATAAGACACATGCTACTAAATTTGAGATTTTTCATAGCATGCATAGATCGTCGACAAAACCACTAAACCATACTAAAAACAAAACACGTTATAGCATATAAACATATCATAGACACGGGTTTTGTACGCCAGACGCGCGTTTTGTCTAAATGAAACACGTTTGACACTCGAATTAAAAATGTTCAAAAGGGCCTTATAATGTACGAAGTTGAAGTACACTAACGACCAGATTTTCCGAAAGGGATGCAAATAAAGCTAAGGTAATATACATGTATTACTTATGTAGAAAATAATTAGTTTTTCAAAAAAATTAAAGGTTTTGTAAACAGTCAATTTATAATTATGACCATATCAACAATAGTGCATGTCAACACAGAACTGCTGGGTACTAAACTGATGATACAATAGGAGGGAAACCTTCATCAGAAGTGTCATCGACCAAGTGGTAGAAAAAAACTTAACTAGTCTTAGATGCATGATTTTTTTTGTATTAGTTGTTATTGGCTTTTAACTAGCTGTCAGTAATTTCGAGTACTCTCAGATCTTAAAATGTCCTGTACCATGTCAGGAATATGGCAGTTCTTATCAAAGAGTTTGTTTCTATGTTTGTTGGCGTTTGTTTTTGTTGCATTTCGGTGTTCCTGTGGTTCCTTTGTTTTCCTCTTATAATTGATGTGTTTCCCTCGATTTTGGTTTGTATCCTGGATTTGTTTTCTATAAATTGATTTCTGACTTTTGAACACCGGTAAACTACTGTTGCCTTTATTTATGATAACAAGTGCATACCAATCGACTATTATACTTTTTGCCGTTTTTTTATATGTTATTGAACATATATTTTACAAAACAATATATCAGTGTGACTTTTTTTAATATTAGTTTCTACTAATGCCTAACAGTAATGCTGTTTATTGACTGGTGTAATGGTCGCACCAATATTCTTATATGATATTTATCAATTTTGACAAATCTTTATCTTTCAATAATAATTAATACAGAACTGCATTCTATTTGAAGATTGGCCTACGTAAAACGCGGATTTAACTGTCGCAAATGAGTTTATCTAGCGACGCGTAGCGGAACTGGTACTAAACATATATTTGCGACAGTAAAACAAAGTTTTATGTAGGCCAAGCTTCAAATATAATACTGTTATTTCCAGTATAATGTCATTCCGTTTCAGTCATTAATTCGGTATATAATTTCATAAAACAACAATTCCGCAAAATAATGATATCGTCTTTGGCAACTAAACAAGGTGACGTCACATGTATGCTTCTGGCGTCCAATGTAAATAAAGGCAACTGTAGTATACCGCTGTTGAAAAGTCATAAACTCAGGGCTTCTTGAATGTCTCGAAATGTAATACAATTAGATCAAAGGATATCTTTTGAAGTAAAATGTTTTTTTTTTCTAAGGTTAATATTGAAAAAATAACATGTCAATACAGAACAGAAAATCAAAATATCATTTTCTCTTACCTACTGACAGGTAGATAAAGAATTGTACGCTTGCTGTTATCCAATCAGAACAATTTATACAAAATGATTGCATTATAATGAACCATTTCTTTGGTGTAGAATACAATTAACATTACCATGTTTTGTTTCAGAGAATTGAGCAGTAATCAAATAACTACAATACAGGAAGGAACATTTCAAAACCTACCAGCTCTTGAAACCCTGTATGTATACTAGTTGCAATATTTGATGTAGAAGCACGTCAGATTTTTTTGTGTGTGTTGTGTTGCTGCTGCCATAAACATCACATCTAACATTAATTATGTTACCCGAAGGATTATATCTCTTAAGTGATTTTTTAGTCCTCAAGTCCATTCTAATTTAGATAAATGTTTCACATCACAGAACAAAGACATTTCGATTTTTGTTCATACTATTATAATGAACCAGTTTAACAAAGAAATCATTGGTAACTGTTAACAGAGATAAAAGTACATTAAACAATTTAGAATTAATAGTTCAAATTTATAGATGATTAAATCTGAGTGATTGCCAGGATAAAGATAACAAATGCATACCAATCGACTATTATTGGCGTCAGTATTGCATGCTTTAGATTTAATCATATAGAGTCCGAGTCAGGAAAAAATAGAACCTGTCCAGTTTTTTTTTCCATTTGCTTTTTATTGCAGTAGATTTATTGTAAAATCGAATTGTTGGTGCTCGACCGACCTTTTTTTCATAAAAGGTCACCTGACACATGAATACAACCGACTACATGTAAAAACAATTGAACATTATACAGAGTGTATAATTACAATCATATCCTATAAAATAATCGATATATCCGTGTCTGTTCTGACTAATAAAGAATATCGAACCTTACATAAATCATCGTTTGTCACATTCTAAGATTCCAGATCAATATTACACATTTACGTTAATATCCATTTGTTACAAAGCTTCTGGTTTTAATTTGGTCTGGACGAATTGCTTAACAAAATTTCATAGTTGTCAGTTGCATTATATTTGATACCTGATTGTATATTTGTCTTATACAACATAGTTATATTACTTCAAATTGCTAAAATACATCTTTTTTCAAGATTATTAACATGCATTTTAACAGAAGTTATTGTAAAATTACTTGCTGTAGGTGCACTTAATAAAATGCATGCGTACGAATCGTTTTTCTGTGTTTACTTTCATCAAAACGCTCAAAACTGAATATTTGAAAGCCAATAATGTATAAGAACCGATATAATCTGAATCTCACTCCCCTTGCAATAATATTTTAATATTTAAATACTCTTCCCATTACAAATATATTCCAGATCCAAAACTAAAAGACAAGTTAAATGAATTGGTCCTGCTTTGTTTCATAAAAAAGAATGGCCAAAGTGAAGATGCTTGGTTACTTGATTGACAACATATCTGTTACGTTCAAAGAAAGTCTTTTTCAACAAAAAGTTTTTTGCTATGACATTGTAATTTTGCTTTCGACCTATGAGTTTGCCCATCCCTGTGTTAACGTCTGACTCGCAAAGTCCAAACAACGTCGCACAACTCCATTTATGGAATTAAGTAAATAGAAGTGACGACAGAATCTCATTAAACACTATATAAAAAACTACAGATTGAAGAAAACGAGCACCCCAAAAAACAGGATGACTTTTTTATCTAAAACATGCTTGGCATTTTCAGCTGCACTAATGACATCTGCGTTTCCTTTATAAAAAAAAACGTGTAGTAGGAAAGTTGTACTCAGCAAATTTGTAAGTTCTCAAAAACATTCATACTTTTTTGGGGAAACGATTGTAGACAACTTTTATTTGTTATTAATTAAGAATTTTGTAATAATTGCTTAAGGTAAAAAGAAGTAAAAAAATATTATTCAATTTCACTAACTGAAGAAGATCGAATATATCCTCAAGATCTTTAAATTTGTTATCATCGAAATCTGATCAAAAATGCCTCTAAAGAAGAAATATTTACAACTCGCTTTCATCCAGTTTATCAATCTTAACAGATTATTAATGATCAGTAAGTAAACTGAAACATATTCTTTTATATAATATAAAAAAAAGTAGTTTACTTACAATTTGTATCCAAATTGCATGCTCCGACGAATGAAATCATAGTTAAATGCTATTGCTCTTTTAATTGTTAAATAAGGTTTGGTATTTTGAGCGCTCATTTACCCCTATTTTTGACATTTTTGCCTATTATGTCCGTTTATTAAGTTCATATTTTGTTGTCAATATAATGGAATTTTATGCGACTGTCATACAATTGAGAGATTTAGATAGCTGTAAAACGAGGTTTAATTTACCATTTTCTACATAAGAAAATGCCTGTACCAAGTCAGGTTCATGACAGTTGTTTGATGTGTTTGAGCTTTTGATTTTGCCATTTGATAAGGGAGTTTCCGTTTTGAATTTTCTTCAGAGTTCAGTATTTTTGTTATTTTACTTTTTGATTGCATTCCATTAGTTTTTAATAAGTAGACGAGTGTTCAAATGCAAGGTAGACAATGAATAGGAGATACCTAGGTTATAATTATTAATTGAGAAGGATAGAAAATGCATTTGCCATACGATACTAAATACCGTTGTGTCGTTGCCAATTTTACGTTTGTTGCCTTTTATATAATAATATATTGACCTTTATCACTTTTTTGTATTTTCAAGCGTTACCGATGAGTCTTTTGATTACAGAAAACGCGTCTAGCACACATAACTGTAATCTATGATGACTTTATAGTAAACAACAAAGCGAAAGATGCACGTCAAATTAGAATAGAAAAACAATCTGTCAATGTAGTTTGTTTGATTATCTGTTAACTACTGTTGCTCATATTTAACATGTTTAACTAGATAATTATTCACATTTCCATAGTGTAAAATATATGAAACATCAACATTGTTTTGTTTCAGGTATTTGTACAGCAATCAAATAACTACAATAGAGCTAGGATCATTTCAAGACCTTCCAGCGCTTAACTTTTTGTATGTATACATTTTGACAATATTTCATCAAGAGGTAAATGAAAACTGAATCTAAAAAAAGCAGTGTCAAACTTGGTTCACTATTATCAATGATAACGATACATGGAGTTCTGCCATCCTGAAACGTAACGACTATTTCCCCAGATGGTTAGCCTAGCTATGTAACATGTATTAATAAGCGAGATGCCAAACCAAATTTCGAATCTCAAACCGTAGAAACAAACATAAGACACATGCTACTAAATTTGAGATTTTTCATAGCATGCATAGATCGTCGACAAAACCACTAAACCATACTAAAAACAAAACATGACATAGCATATAAACATATCACAGACACGGGTTTTGTACGCCAGACGCGCGTTTTGTCTAAATGAAACACGTTTGACACTCGAATTAAAAATGTTTAAAAGGGCCTAATAATGTACGACGTTGAAGTACACTGACGACCAGATTTTCCGAAAGGGATGCAAATAAAGCTAAGGTAATATACATGTATTACTTATGTAGAAATTAATTAGTTTTTCAAAAAAATTAAAGGTTTTGTAAACAGTCAATTTATAATTATGACCATATCAACAATAGTGCATGTCAACACAGAACTGCTGGGTACTAAGCTGATGATACAATAGGAGGGAAACCTTCATCAGAAGTGTCATCGACCAAGTGGTAGAAAAAAAACTTAACTAGTCTTAGATGCATGATTTTTTGTATTAGTTGTTATTGGCTTTGAACTAGCTGTCAGTAATTGCGAGTACTCTCAGATCTTAAAATGTCCTGTACCAAGTCAGGAATATGGCAGTTCTTATCAAAGAGTTTGTTTCTATGTTTGTTGGCGTTTGTTTTTGTTGCATTTCGGTGTTCCTGTGGTTCCTTTGTTTTCCTCTTATAATTGATGTGTTTCCCTCGATTTTGGTTTGTAACCCGGATTTGTTTTCTATAAATTGACTTATGACTTTTGAACACCGGTAAACTACTGTTGCCTTTATTTATGATAACAAGTGCATACCAATCGACTATTATACTTTTTGCCGTTTTTTTATATGTTATTGAACATATATTTTACAAAACAATATATCAGTGTGACTTTTTTTAATATTAGTTTCTACTAATGCCTAACAGTAATGCTGTTTATTGACTGGTGTAATGGTCACACCAATATTCTTATATGATATTTATCAATTTTGACAAATCTTTATCTTTCAATAATAATTAAGACAGAACTGCATTCTATTTGAAGCTTGGCCTACGTAAAACGCGGATTTTACTGTCGCAAATGAGTTTTAAACATATATTTGCGACAGTAAAACAAAGTTTTATGTAGGCCAAGCTTCAAATATAATACTGTTATTTCCAGTATAATGTCATTCCGTTTCAGTCATTAATTCGGTGTATAATTTCATAAAACAAAAATCCCGCAAAATAATGTTATCGTCTTTGGCAACTGAACAAGGTGACGTCACATGTATGCTTCTGGCGTCCAATGTAAATAAAGGCAACAGTAGTATACCGCTGTTGAAAAGTCATAAACTCAGGGCTTCTTGAATGTCTCGAAATGTAATAAAATTTTTTCCTAAGGTTAATATTGAAGAAATAACATGTCAATACAGAACAGAAAATCAAAATATCATTTTCTCTTACCTACAGACAGGTAGATAAAGAATTGTACGCTTGCTGAACCATTTATACAAAATGATTGCATTAGAATGAACCATTTATTTGGTGTAGAATACAATTAACATTACCATGTTTTGTTTCAGAGATTTGAGCAGTAATCAAATAACTACAATACAGGAAGGAACATTTCAAAACCTACCAGCTCTTAACACCCTGTATGTATACTAGTTGCAATATTTGATGTAGAAGCACGTCAGATTTTTTTGTGTGTGTTGTGTTGCTGCTGCCATAAACATCACATCTAACATTAATTATGTTACCCGAAGGATTATATCTCTTAAGTGATTTTTTAGTCCTCGAGTCCAATCTAATTTAGATAAATGTTTCACATCACAGAACAAAGACATTTCGATTTTTGTTCATACCATTATGATGAACCAGTTTAACAAAGAAATCATTGGTATCTGTTAACAGAGATTAAAGTACATTAAACAATTTAGAATTAATAGTTCAAATTTATAGATGATTAAATCTGAATGATTGCCAGGGTAAAGATAACAAATGCATACCAATCGACTATTATTGGCGTCGGTATTGCATGCTTTAGATTAAATCATATAGAGTCCGAGTCAGGAAAAATAAGAACCTGTCCATGTTTTTTTCCATTTGCTTTTTATTGCAGTAGATTTATTGTAGAATCGAATTGTTGGTGCTCGACCGACCTTTTTTTTTCATAAAAGGTCACCTGACACATGAATACAACCGACTACATGTAAAAACAATTGAACATTATACAGATTGCATAATTACAATCATATCCTATAAAATAATCGATATATCCGTGTCTGTTCTGACTAATAAAGAATATCGAACCTTACATAAATCATCGTTTGTCACATTCTAAGATTCCAGTTCAATATTACACATTTACGTTAATATCCATTTGTTACAAAGCTTCTGGTTTTAATTTGGTCTGGACGAATTGCTAAACAAAATTTCATAGTTGTCAGTTGCATTATATTTGATACCTGATTGTATATTTGTCTTATAAAACATAGTTATATTACTTCAAATTGCTAAAAAACATCTTTTTCAAGATTTTTAACATGCATTTTAACAGAAGTTATTGTAAAACTACTTGCTGTAGGTGCGGTGTGAATCAGATGTGGATATTAAAAAATCCAATGATCTGTTACATATACCGTAAACAATAAAAACAACACTTAATAAAATGCATGCGTACGAATCGTTTTTCTGTGTTTACTTTCATCAAAACGCTCAAAACCGAATATTCGAAAGCCAATAATGTATAAGAACCGATATAATCTGAATCTCACTCCCCTTGCAATAATATTTAAATATCTAAATACTCTTCCCATTACAAATATATTCCAGATCCAAAACTAAAATGACACGGGTTATGTTCTTCTCATATATTTTATGACGGTATAATACTAAACCCCTAACAGGAGGGATTGTGCCTGATATTTATATGATGAAGACATAATCTTTCAATCAGTTTAATTGAGGTCTGGAGCTGGCATGTCAGTAACTGCTAGTAGTCTGTTGTTATTTATGTATTATTGTCATTTTGTTTCCTATTCTGACATCGGACTCGGACTTCTCTTAAACTGAGTTTTACTGTGCGAACTGTTGTACGTTTGTTTTTTCTACATTGGCTAGAGGTATAGGGGGAGGGTTGAGATCTCAAAAAACATGTTTAACCCCGCCGCATTTTTGCGCCTGTCCCAAGTCAGGAGCCTCTGGCCTTTGTTAGTCTTGTATCATTTTTAATTTTAGTTTCTTGTGTATAATTTGGAGTTTAGTATGACGTCCATAATCACTGAACTAGTATACATATTTGTTTAGGGGCCAGCTGTAGGACGCCTCCGGTTGCGGGAGTTTCTCGCTGCATTGAAGACCCATTGGTGGCCTTCGGCTGTTGTCTGCTCTATGGTCGGGTTGTTGTCTCTTTGACACATTCCCCATTTCCATTCTCAATTTTAAGTTAAATGAATTGGTCCTGCTTTGTTTCATAAAAAAGAATGGCCAAAGTGAAGATGCTTGGTTAGTTGATTGACAACATATCTGTTACGTTCAAAGAAAGTCTTTTTCAACAAAAAGTTTTGTGCAATGACATTGGAATTTTGCTTTCGACCTATGAGTTTGCCCATCCCTGTGTTAACGTCTGACTCGCAAAGTCCAAACAACGTCGCACAACTCCATTTATGGAATTAATTAAATAGAAGTGACGACAGAATCTCATTAAACACTATATAAAAAACTACAGATTGAAGAAAACGAGCACCCCAAAAAACAGGATGAATTTTTTATCTAAAACATGCTTGGCATTTTCAGCTGCACTAATGACATCCGCGTTGCCTTTATAAAGAAAAAAAACGTGTAGTAGGAAAGTTGTACTCAGCAAATTTGTAAGTTCTCAAAAACATTCATACTTTTTTGGGGAAACGATTGTAGACAATTTTTATTTGTTATAAATTAAGAATTTTGTAATAATTGCTTAAGGTAAAAAGAAGTAAAAAAATGTTATTCAATTTCACTAACTGAAGAAGATCGAATATATCCTCAAGATCTTTAAATTTTTTATCATCGAAATCTGATCAAAAATGCCTCTAAAGAAGAAATATTTACAACTCGCTTTCATCCAGTTTATCAATCTTAACAGATTATTAATGATTAGTAAGTATACTGAAACATATTCTTTTATATAATTTAAAAAAAGGAGTTTACTTACATTTTGTATCCAAATTGCATGCTCCGACGAATCAAATAAGATTTAATTTTAATGTTTGCCTCAACAGAATATTAGCCAACAACCCACTGGATTGCTGTGACTGTGATTTGGAGAATCTCAAGCTGTATTTACTCAACAATACACACTTGTTGGGTGCATCTGCGACATGTCATGGCACAACAACCTTTGTATATGATATTAACTTCACCGACTGTGCAGGTAATATTATCCAATTAAAGATAAACAATGAAGAAGCAATGTAAAATTCATAACAAAATGATTTTATTTTCAATATCTGCACCTTATTGAACATTATTCTATTTTATTAAGAAGGTACAAGACAAATATGCACATGTGTAATCATGAAAATTTATAGACAATTTGGAGCAAGAATTCTAAATCATATCTCGAAAAGGAAATTTGAGAGCATTGAGGTATAGAGCTGTTATTTCTTTATAAATGGTGTTTCAAACGTTTGATTGAGTTTTGGATTAATTTCAACCGTGGATTTATAAAATATTTATAAGCATACAGTAATAATTGTTTATGTAATGGCTAGTAAAAACTTTAATTCTATAGAAACGTAAAAAAATTTCATCGTTTAAAAAATTGTTTATCGTGTTATATATTTAATTTTGGGTTAACAGGCATATGAACATTTTCAAAAATTTTCCGATTGATCAATCACATAAACACGAAACAGGTGAGGTTGTTATCGTGAATTGCGTCAATTTAATAAATAACATACTAGTAATTGAAAATGTAATTTATGTATAATTCTTGTAGATTTTGCTATTTTATTTGTCCACTTACTTTACAGAAGTTATTTAAAAATTATTATAGAAAAAAAATTATATACTCACCCTTTTTAATCTGCAAAAGTGTATCTATTTAGTATTTTATATTTGTTTTTATCAATAAAAAATCAATGAGATTTGACAGCAATTCAAAATTTAATTAACAAGGTCTTTGATGAGATGATTGATAGCAATTTCACTGTGATATATAAATATGGTCATCCCTTACTTCTCCTGTCCTCTAGTAAAATTCTTGCGTAATTTGGAAATGCATTATTACACTGCCACATCCGATCTGAGTTGAGACATCATATCTGACGGACAATGTAGGTTGATTACTATGCGCTCTGCATGGTAGTTAACCTTGTAGCAACCATATGAGAAGTAAGCCTGTTATATTTTACCCTTTCCTACACACATACATTTTCCAGTTGCAGTTCAAATGTCCCACACTCCATCCCGTTCGACCTTCTTTGCAGAACCATGCCAATCATGTTGATTGCTCATTTGTTCTGTATTGTTTGCCACTGAATGGAATCAATCAACAATCTATTAATAGTAGATCGTTTTTGTAACAGTCTGCATTCACTTTAGGGGGACAATAAGCAAGTTTTTAGTAACCATTTCTATGATCTATTGTACGCGTTAACATAATTTTGCGTTTAGTTTCATTTTCATGCCATGCTAAGATATTTTATTGTTGTACTTCACCTAAACTTTCAAGATGGTGCACAAGGTTACATCTCACTTCAAGGGCATTATCATAGGTCTAAGCGGAATTATTTTTGTCAACCTAATAATACTGTGATGAGATAATCTTTTAATGTTGTAACCCAAATATAAGATAATGTACTAAACTATCTCTTAAGAGAGTCTCTTTTCTTAAGATAGGATTACTTTTAATTAAGTTATTTGTATAATGAAATTTCTAGACTCAACGGAATCTACAATGCCACAATCCACAAAGATAACAACTGGAGGAGAAACAGAAAGCACAACAGACAAACTAACAACAGAAATCATAACAAGTGAGTTAACAACAGAAGGTACACCAGCGGTACAAACAGCAGAAAACACCACATATATGTTAACAACTGAAATCATAACAGGAGAGTTAACAACAGAAGGTACAACAGCGGTACAAACAGCAGAAAGCACAACGTTTGTATCGACAAAAGAGATCATGACAGTGGCATCAACAAAAGAGAGCATAACAGTGACATCAACAAAAGAGATCACTACAGTGGTACCAACGAGAGAAAGCACGACAGTCGCATCAACGAAAGAGAGCACCACCGTTGAATCAAAGAAAGAGAGCACAACAGTGGCATCAACGAAAGAGATCAATATAGTGGTATCAACGAAAAAGAGCACACCAGTAGCATCAACAAAAGAGAACACAACTGACACAATAGCTACTCGTAAGTATATCAATTTTATCTTAACCATATAGAATAGGTTTAGTTGTAGCAACAATTTGCATTAGGCATTATTTTGATGATACCCTCAGGGACTTAGAGTTCTCCAGCAGTCGTACGCCCGATATTAGTAAATCTATAGATTCTGTCAGTCCGAATTATGAAAAAAATATAAAATGATAGACATATGATATTTATAAATGGATCACTGAAAACAGGTCTCCCCAAAAAAGTAAAAATCGAGGAATGAATCGCAAATCTAAAACTTAAAAGCCAAATGATGAAGAAGCAAACCCCCAAAAAAACATTGTAATTTTTCAACGTCAGTGCATTGCAACGTAATAAATGAAGAGACGGAGTATACTGAAGGAGATACAACACCCAAAGAGAGCCTCACTAAATCATGGCAAAACGAAAAACGACGAAAATACAAAAAGCATTCTACAAAACACTTCATAAATTACTAAAGACTTACAAACATGAAACCCACGAAAACCAAGAGTGGTCTGTTTTTAAAGGTATTACATTTCATTAACCCGGTATCTTATATAGCTTACTATACGGTTTTTTTTTTTTTTTTTTATTTATTTTTTTAAACACGTGTTTACCTGAAGTTGTTTACAATCTTGTCCTTGTGGTGTTATGTGGGTAATTGTCTCTTCCGCATTCACACCACATCTCATTTTGTTCATATTTATGGTGTATAATTATATATTTCTGTCTTTATCGGTTTGTTTGCATTATGCAGACATTGATGAATTGGTAAAATCCTATACAAGATTTTATTACGCTCGCACTAAATAGATGGGGTTTTTTTTGGTTTGTTTTTTTTTTTTTTTTTTTTGTACATAATTAAGTGAAATCCTTCAAATCTATCCCTTCTTCAAAAAAGACTAAGGTTCTTAGTATACTGGCCTTTGCATAGCAGGACACAATTTCTTCCTGTACCATTCTTGATCATTCTGTGTAACATTTCCTTTGAAATACTGCCGTCCATATTAGAGTGTATTGCGGTATGATTTCTTTATTCGAAAGTCAAGTGATTTAAACATGAATACAGCAACTTTGAAAATGCATTTGTACACTGTTATTTAGTTTTGTTTGACGTATGAACTGGTGTGCATTATTCCCAAATGGATTTTTTTAACTGATTGGTAACATTCAATGCATCTTAGTTATTTACCTGATTAAGAATTCATTGGTGCTAAAAACAAGTTTATCTGTTCGAGTGCCTCTACCATTCGGAAACTCCCCAATGGTTGTCTACGTTATATTTATGTTTTCCCCTTTTTTTATTAAAATGTGTGTTTATCCAAGATCTTTGATAGCCATCTTCAAAATAGTCGCTTTTTTTCGTAAGCCTTGGTTGATTTAGAGCTTGATATACTCTACATATTCTAACTTGTCTATTGATATTGACCATATGTTTACCTTTTGATATTTGTTTGGTTTCTGTGGGTCTTTGGGTTTCTGCCTCATTGAACTATATCGTATCTTTTTAATTCACAATTTTTTATATATTATTATAAGAAAACACGCAACTGTTTAAAATAGTCGAACTGTATTGTAAAATAGTATCCCATTTGTCGAGTTATTAATTTATCGCCTTAGTATTTGTATTATCGATGTTTCTTAAAACGATGTGACGTTTCTCTTTTCACTATCGCGCGTTAAGAGATTCGCTTACATGTGCAACTTCAATCATTGATGACACCATTGCACCCGCAATCTATTATATGTTTGTTTTGTGTTTTTTAGTTTAGTTTGGCTTTATAACATTTGGTCTTGAGCACATCCATAAGGAAGGTTGTGTGTTGTGCCTACTGACAAAAAAAATCATACGGTTATCATGTAGACGCATAAATTTCATGTGGTTTTCTCGTACTTTGTGTATCTTTACCTTGATTTGTATCCCCCTGACCATTTTGTGAGATTTGACCATCGGTAAGCTAATATTGCCTCTTATCTATAACTTTACGACAACTTAGATATTATAATTGTTTTAAAAAAGTAAGAAGTGCATTTGATGTATAAGTTTAAGAAATGGTGACTAAAATGAAACACCAAAAGCAGAGTAGCGATCATTCTGAAAATAGAACTTCATAGACAAGGCTAAGAATAAAGTGGTGTGAAAACGGTTATGACGAAAAAAAAAAACAGACGTCAAAACCAGTGATCGTTTACATCTTCATCTGTTCATCGATACTGACACAAATGGACAATTTCAAACTAGAATTTAGGACAAACGTGATTATGTCAACTTTCTAATTGTTAAATTTCCATTTGTCAGCAGTTCCAGACCGTATGTTCCCTCGTGTGGCGTTGGCATATCTCAACTGATACGCTATGCTCGTGTATGTTCATGCTTTACGGACTTCAATAGCAGGGGTATTCTTCGAATACAAATATTGCTTCAACTGTGTGATGAGGGAGGAAGAATGACTGAAATCGACACTACATAAGTGTTACGGTCATCACACGAAATGATGTCACTTACTTACGACACGATTAATGTTTGTATTAACTCACTAGATACTTATATGTGCAGTCTTAGACATTTTGATACCAACGTCGCAAAATAAGTGACAGACAATTGTCTAATACTATTGGCAAAAGAAGCTTAACACATTCAAATCGTTCTGATTTGCAAGATAAATTCAAATTGAAATAATAAATATAATGCTACCTTTGGCGAGGTGAATACGCATTTTTTCTTAGTTTGAAAAACTGATATTCATTGACCAGCGGTCGAAGTTGATGTTAGGTTATCAAATTTTATTTGAACCACATATTTAATGAAACAAAAGTTAGTTATTTTAATCAATATTCCGAGGATAAGATATTAAGTGAAAATCAAACACAAACATTATCCTTGAATCACACCATGTACATTATTGATAATTCAGAAAATTTTTTTATTAATGATCATACTCTGTTTTACAGTTTACAATACTAATGATCCAATAATAGTCGGAAGTGTTGGAGCTTTTATTGCAATTATGTCTCTCGTTGGAGCAGTGTTTGCTACCTGTCTGATCTTAAACAGGTACCTATAAACAACTTAATTATCATCAATGAACATAAACTGTTCTATCAAACCAAAATTATTAAATACACACGTGTAAACTGTAAAGATTTACTAAATAGAGGGTAAGTGTTTCTAGTGGTGTTAAAACGGTGAAAGATTTTTTTGACGAAATTACAATTTGGTTGACCATTATGGGATACATATTTCACTTGTCGTAACTAGAATCCTGTCCTATTTTTCCGCGAGTTCAACATTACCGATTGCAAATTAGATCACAGTATTTTCACTTACTCACGCAACACGACGTGCCAAACATGTAGAACAAAAACTGCATATCCTTCAAGATCATCTGATTTTAATATGGGTTTTTATAAGGTTTGTGTTGTTCGAGCCTTAGTTTTCTGTTCACTCTAATTTTTGTTTGTAATTAAATCGTTTTTAATTTTAACTTTGCTGTTGTCTATTTTAAGGGACTTATAAAAAAGAGGCGAAAGATACATACGGGACTTTCAAAGTCAGAAGTGAAAAATAAAATGACAACGCCATGGCTAAAAAAGAAAAAAAAACAACAGGCAGTACACAAAGCACAACATAGAAAACTAAAGACTGGGCAACACGACCCCCACCAAAAACGTGGGGTGGTCTAAGGTGCTCCGGAAGAAGGATCCTGCTCCACATAAAGAACCTGTCGTGTTGCTCATGTTAGTACGTCAAGTTCAGTAAAAGGGGGGCAGGATTGTAGTTACGACAATTGAAACATATCCACTATCATCTGTGAAACGGAATTTCCATAACAGTCAACCAACTCGTGGTGGAGTCCGTAAAACTTACAAAAGGATGATTTTAACTTCACCACTAGAAATTCTTGGTTTAATAGCTTCTGCGTGACAGCAACCCTCTATCAAGGAAATCATGATAGAAAATTCAAGCCCTGAATATCGTATCAATTGGGAGATATATACTCCGTATGCAGGCACTGATGGAATGTTGCTACTTAAAAATTTACAGTTCACAAATGGGAAGCTGAAATCATCTCTTTTGTCGTGAAGTTTTGTTTCAACCAGCCCTCATCGTCAACTTTAAGATGTAAGTCAAAATATCAAGCAGACATAAATTTATATGTTGTATCCTTTATCTCACGTTCGATGGGAAAGATGCGTTCAACATATTCACCATATTTTGAGTTATTTAGTGAGAGAACATCATATTTATAGCGGTAGTAAAGTTAAACTATACTGCAAACTTCTTTTCTTTCTTCGTAAGAATTTCCTATATATAGTCAGCCTCATATGAATAAAGGAACAATTCGGCTAGAAGAAGAGCACAGCTGGTGCCCATGAGAATGCGATTGTTTGTTGAAAAATATGTCCTCCAAACGTAACAAATATGTTGTCATTCAAAAAATCAAGCATCTTGATAATGTTTGTTTCCGAGAATTCTTTCGGTGAGTGAATTTTTTACAAAGTACGATTCATCCCTCCCTAAGACAAGAAACTTGTATCTTTTGGTCATTTTTTTTATGGAACAAAGCAGGACTAATCCTTTTAATTTGTCTTTTAGTTTTGAATAGGGAATACTTGTGTAAAATGTAGAAAAGTCAAATGTTTCAATACATTTGCAAGATAAAAGAGACTAATATTGTATGTACTCTTAAAGAATTTTTTAGTATCCACATCTTATTCACACCACCTCTAGAATAGGTAGTTTCACAATAACTTTGAAACCCGGCTTTAATTGCTGATAAAATTGATGTTAATATTGTAGAAAGAGGTTTCGTTGAGCACTTTGAACACCCAGCAATATAACGTTGTTTGAAAGGACACGTTTTTAGTTTGGGCATCCAATATAGTGATGGAAGATCCAGTTCTTCATCTTTGGTTGAAATTCTGAAGGAACATAGAACAGACCTATAATATTCAGGATTTCCTCCTTGATAGGTGTCGTGGGGGTATCTGTTGACTTTCCATGTGAATTGTCAAACCTAATTCATTTATCAAACAGTTATGTGATTTACACACAAAAACGATGTTGTTTGGGCTTTATCTGCGGGGACAACAACACATTTATCATGGAGTAAGGACATGTGTTTTGCAACATTGAGATCTTTCAAGACTGATGTAGCATGGGTATTCATAGACCCATTCAGTTTTTTTTTTAACTCTGATTTGTATCAACGACCTCACAGTCTTAATCCATTCGGAAAGAGTATCTACGTCCTCTTTCTTCCGTTTAACCCATTGCCTGGCATCTATCCGTATTGTGAAGTTGTGTTTCAAATTGATTGATTTATGCTCACGACATTTCGGGCCTTTGGATAACTCATTTCGCAGAGAAGCGTTATTGACAATGTTTACGTCATCAGTAATAACATGGCCGGCTGGATTGTACATGAATTGGGAACTAGCAATCAGGAGGTTTATATTTGAATGAATATGATGAATATATGATGACGAATATTATATTAGAAAAACAAGACTGACGGAGACAGTACTAGTACTGTTGGTTGTTTATATTTTGAATCAACATTGACTTTTTTATTTCAAAGATCATTTAACTATAAATGCCTTTTTGGTTAATACTTTTCACTATAATAACAAAATGTATTCTGTGTCAAGTTACTGTGTCATCTGACCATATATATTTCCGCCAATTTGGTTGTTCAGTGAAATAATAGTATCTTACATGTTGATACATGTAAACAAAGTTTATGTGTATCCATAGATTTTTTTGTCACAAGCAAACGTATTCCCTTGTCGATACCAAGGTCTATTTGATGGAACTTACCTTTATTGAATTTATCAAATACTTGTTTTTGTATCTATAAACAAATTAGAATAGGAACAAAATTGAGAATTGAAACGGGGAATGTGTCAAAGAGACAACAACCCGACTAAAGAGCAGACGATAGACCAAGGCCACCAATGGGTCTTCAACCCAGCGAGAAAATCCCGCACACAGAGGCGGGCTTCAGCTGGCCCTAAACAAAAATGTGTACTAGTTCTGTGAAAATAGACGTCACACTAAATTTCGAAACATATAAATGAACCAAAATATAAAAAACATACAAGACTAACAAAGGCCAGATGCTCCTGACTTGGGACTGGTTCAAAATGCGGAAAAAGGGTGGGGGGGGGGGTGGGGGGGGTATTATTAAATGTTTGTATCAGATGGTGTTTTAATGGGTCTTTACTGATTTTATTTTAAATTTTGTTTCGTTTCAAGTTTTCATAAATCAAATGCCCTTTTTCCCTAAGAATTAAACACACTCACACATAACAAAAAAAATAAAAGCAAACGCGGGTTCCTTGATGTTCAACCCGTTATACAGTAGTTATTATAGTGTTTGTCTATTCAATTGCAGATTGAATTTGAAGAAAGAAACAAGGAAAGAATTATCTGACAGTTTTGATAGGAGGCGATTTCCAGCTATGCCACTACGACATGGGGGGCATATCAGTTGGTATTAAAATAGCGTCCTTGATTATGCCATACTGACACAGCATCCATGTCTACATGTTACCAACACCTAGTAGATATGTTATGGCATTGGCAAATTGTCTGTATTTTTTAAGTATTTGCTGATAAACCATGCTAAACGTTTATCACATTGATGGATAAATTATCACTTGTAAATAGGTAAAAAAAACATAAATTACGAGTTTGACATTGACACACTGGTTATGGATATCAGTATTGTGTTATTTTATATCCTTGAATTGTCAATAACCATTGTTTTCCCTGCATTTAACCGCATTGTGGCACTAATCATGTCATAATTACACAGCTAATATAACAAATTATTTAACATTATCTTAGATTCCTAGATATGTAACTATATTTTAAAGTGTAGAATAAATAAGGGCTTGGATGTTATAAATATTAGAAATTTTTCCCACCATAAGTATGTATAGAAAACAATATCTTATTACTTCAAAGGTACAACCTTACCCGCCTTGTCCTAGTCTAACCAATTGAATCCAAGATTTTTAATCAGAACAGGGTGTAAATGATCTTTACCCTGAAGGATGAAAATAAACTTTTGATTTTGTTTATTGTCCCTATATAAATATGGTTCTGCTCGCCAAAGTATTGGAATGAACCACCAAAAGTGTTGTTAGTTCGAAAAAATATATTCCGCAGTCGAGGTTGCTGGTAGATGCAGATGTCTTTACAAAAGAACCTGGTGTTTAACATATTTAAAGCAATAATTCTTGTACACTTACGTCGTTCAAGAACGAGGAGAATTTAGGAAAACCACAATACTGCCTTTTTTTTGCCTTTGGAATTGCTCAACAATATCTAAACTTCGTAAATTTTTTCTACACTCTACGACGGGTGCCACATGAGGAGCAGGATCTGTTGACTCTGCCGGAGCACCCGAGATCATCCCAAATAAATACACCAAATCCGTATTAATAGCTGCATTTGTTGTTGGTAGATAATTTTGAACACACATTTGTATTAAATGTGTAATCTTTTTGGTCTAATATTTGAATTTATAAGCAACAGAATAGTTCATCTTAAAGCCTTATGAACATACAGGTAATACCCTGTCTAACTTCATGTTCAGATATATGTTTGATGTCCTCTCTACCAAACACACACGTTTTCATTTATCCCATGGTTGTATGGTGTTTTGTTTTATATTTTTGGTTGACTGAAACGACACATCAGTTTCTCAACTCACGAGCTGTATGTTCCGTAGTCTTAAATCATATAAAAAAAAAATCCGCTTTATTTGTAAAGGTACTGGTTGTATATTATAAACTCATTATAGATAACAGGATTAATATTTTGTATTTGCGACAGACCCGCGTTTCGTCTACAAAAGACTCATCAGTGACACTCAAATAAAAAAAGTTAAAAAGTATTCCATTCCTTATCGTGTCAATTTCATCGAGTTTGGATTCGCATGACCGATGATTTCATAGTAATTGACGGTTACCCTGTCAACTGCTCTATTAAGGGTTTATTTTATTTCCTTAGGTTTTGTTTTGTTTTATCATAGTTCGTATATTTACTGGAAATGGATTTGTATGATATTGCCGATGTATTCATGCAATAAACTGTTCCTCTAAAAATGAACAAACTCCAAGATTTCTTTAGACCAAAAAGGACAGGTTAAAACGTCTTTCTTTTGCTTCCTCTATAACTGTGTTTCAAATAAGAGAGTGGTAATCTTTATTTACATAATGCACTTTAAATTTTTTATTTATTCTAAATTTTATTCAGAATTTTTATAAATATAATAGTGAGTGAAAAGAACAGAAATCGTATGTAATGCTCAATCGCACATTATATTTAGCCTTCAAACAACTTTATTATGACGAAACCATTAATATTATCAACCACAGGTTAATATCCGGACCAACTGTTTCGTTTGGTATATTGCATAACTATAATATGGAAATATTAAGTCTTTAACAAAACATGCAGTTTTTTTTTATGTTTATCATAAATATGTGAAGTCTTTCCAATTCAATGATCCACGTCATGTAATCACTTTTTTACTTACAATCTTGCCCTGCAAGTGATCACGTGGACGAATATGATTCGGACTAATGACGAAAGTATTCAAAAATATGAATTAACTCTGACAATTGCAAAGGGTCAAGTTCTGAAAGGCAACTATAATTCCATATGTAAAGCTAATAATAACAGAGAATACATGATTATCAACATTATAATCCGCTATTGCTATACTCTGAATTATTCCGTGTGACATTTTAATTAAAAGTTTAAGGGAAATTAAAACATTTATTATTTTTTGTCATACACGTAGAACATATATTTACATCTATCTATCAATGAAAGTTACATAAAATATAATCACAGAAGTTGAAAGAAAGTGTATTTTTAATATCAATTATACGTTTTGTTCTTATACTGTATGTAAACAGTAAAACGTTTGAACTGTATTGTCTTGGTTTAAAAATAAACATGATAAAGACATATTTTAAAGTATTTGTAGTATTAAAATAATAGTAATTAGATAAAAACTTAAAATCTGTGACAATTGTGTGTATGCTTTTGCTTAGGCTTTGCTTATGTTTTGTTTTAAGCTAATGTTTTTTATTGTATACAAAATAATACAACAATTATATTCGCAAAAATGTTTGTTCTCTATTTAAGTTTGTATGACTATTTCTCTATACATGTATCAATTATTTTCAAATATATCTGACCTTTTGGTCATTTAGCTGCTAATTTATTATGGTATTAAAAATATCTTCAACAAAGGCAACAGTAGTATACCGCTGTTCAAAAGTCATAAATCGATATAACTTAAACAAATTCGGGTCACAAACCAAAACCGAGGTAAACACACCAACTATAAGAGGAAAACAACAGAACAACAGAAACACTGAACTGCTACAAAAACAAACGCCAACATACATAGAAACAGACTTTTTGATAACAACTGCCGTATTCCTGACTTGGTACAGGACATTTTAAGAAAAAAATGGCGGTTTGAACCTGGTTGTATGGCTAGCCAAACCTACCACTTATATCGCAATGTTAAAATATCACCAGGCTTTTAATTTTGTCCACAAGTAGCACATTATGTCTACAAAAGATTAATCAGTGCCGCTCAAAAAAAATGGTTAAAGATCAAATCAAGTACGAGGATTAGGGACCAGAAGTTTCGAAAGGTTTTGCCAAATACAGTTTAGGCAATCTATTCCAGGGGTAGAACATCTTTAGTATTTCGAACAAAACAAACATCCTTAACTCTAAAAACTTTTGTTTTCAGCGTTTCAGAAAAGAACTTCAAACGCACCAATTCATCAAAACTTTTAAATTGTTTATCATTGGTTCGATACTGCGGCTAGAAGACTGTTAGTCACAGACGGCAATATCAGCTCAGTAGTCAAAACTTTGGTATCAACATGATTTAGGATATACTTTTCCCTAAAGTTTTCGGTTATGAATTTAAAAATTATCAAGGAACTTCAGAAACGTCAGGCACAGATGACTGCTTAATTTGGCGATTGCTTTCAAGTCTCTTTTTTATTCTTTCTGTTGATTGAGAGCGGATGCACCAAATTAATAAAGTTTTTTCTTGTAAACAACGTCATACTGTATGTACTGTCTTAAACGGACATTCTCTTCAAATGCCATTTTTCTCATGTCCGTCCCCCCCCCCCCCCCCCCCTCTCCCCCAAAAAAAACCAACGTATCTATTAAATATATGAAGAGGAAGGCGTTCGGAAAACAGTATAAATAATACACACTCATAATTAAAGTGCAATTAATGCCACAAGGTAACGCCTTTGTTTTGTTGAGCCAAAGAGAGGGTAATGTATTTATAAAAAGATAACGATTTCTTCAAAAAGGTCTCCAGACCTCAATTAAGTGATACCAACATTCTGTCGGAAAAAAAAGTCTAAAACTAAACTGTCTTTCATAGTCTTGGATTACATCTTTGATGCCTTATCTACAGTTTATCCGAAAAACGAAATTTGCAAGCTGCTTCTGCACCAGCGACCCTAAAACTATGTAGACAAAACGGCTTGAAAGTAAAAGATCCCCGGACTTCGAAGTTAGTACAAATCACAATCTGCTATAAAACCAGGTTGAATCCACCATTTGATACATAAGAAAATGCCTGTGCCAAGTCAGGAATATGACAGTTGTTATCCATTCGTTTGAAGTGTTTGATGTGTTTGAGCTTTTGATTTTGCCATTTGATTAGGGACTTTCCTTTTTGAATTTTCCTCGGAGTTCAGTATTTTTGTGATTTTTCTTTTTGTCATTACTCTGTTTCAAATAACTATTCTTTACAGGACATAATTTATTCCCGGTTTTAGAATAAGTTCTCTATCACTATATTTTTATAAATGTTACTTTTACTTTTAGCCTCATTGAATTTTGTATGTGTTGAGATTAATCAATTCCAAGAAAGCACAAATATTATGCTTGTTAAAATGAGCATCCTCAAAATAAAATGTATCGAACATCTGCGGAATATGAAAATAAGAAGATTTGATATAATTTTCAATGAGACAACCCGCCCTCTAACACCTTAAGACCAAATGACGTAGATATAGAGCAACTATTTATAGAATATTGGTATTTTTGTTTTTAATACTGACTTTATCAGCAGGAATATCAAGCGAGCCCGCTCAAAAAATAAAATACCATTATGCTTTTTATCGGCAATTTGTTTTCGCAATTTTTTTGTTTTTTTTTTTGTTGAGAATATGAATATAAAACTAATTTTACGCGTTCAATTCATTGATAAATTGACACGGATGCACATGAACTAGTGAGTGAAGTTACTGCACTGATATGTGATGTCATTGCCTAATACTTTCGAGTATCACTCCAGTTCATAATCTTAACAAACAATAGGCAGTAAGATCAAAGGAAAAATGTACAAATTGCCCTTAAATTTCGGAATATGGACTTCACAAAAATGATAACCCAAACCGTAGTGTAAGCTATGATGCCCCGACATGACTAGTTTAAAAACAGTTCAAGTTGGAGAGCAATTGGCGTAATTTACGAACAAAAAAAAAAACAAAAACAAAAATTGATAGACAGCAATCAACGAAAAACACTGGATTACAGGCTCCTGATTTGGGACACACATACAAAGCATGTCTGGAGATATTTTCCCTATAAAATGCCCCACAACTCTTTGCAAAATGTTTTCCCTAAATCAGTTCATAACTTTTAACTTGAGAATCGACAGAAACAGTGACCCCATGAACTTCTTTTTTTTTAAA